GGCTCGGGGATACGCACACAGGGTCGGGAGGAATCTGTGAGCGTCTGCAATCTGACAAACTCCAGGGACAGTCTCACCTCTGGTCCTGTTTCCCTCCAGGTGTTGTCCCGGGCATCTCATGCGCAGGGTAGTGGCTGCCCTGCACAGGGGCCCCTCCTGCCTCTCCTTAAGCAAGGCCACTCCTTTGTCCTCATGGCCTGGAAGCACCACTCCCAAGGCACTGCTTCCAGCTAAAGGACCCTCATTCTTTCCTCTCGGCTTCCGTCGATTCCTCATCCTGGAGAAAGGGAGTCGGGTGGCTATTTAAAAGTCTGCTCGAAATATTTCTCCACCCTCCAAGTTCCTTCTCCAAGATTTATATTTAAAGTATTATCCTGCATCACTTCCCATTCACCAAATCTTTCCTGCTCTCCATGTGTTCATTCCCAGGCCTTGGAGAAATAAAGATTCTAAAACTGGGACAGTTCCCATGGTGACACATGGGCCTCTTTGATCCTCTGCCTCTCACATGGCGAGTGAACCACCCAGACAGCTGAAGCTCATTATAACCCTTTCTGTGAGAAAGATCTCGCCTGCTCCGTTCACCCGCCTTCCACCAGCAGCATAGACGACACTGCTGGCAATCTTTGAAAGAAAAGGCTGATCTCGCTCAACCACCGTCACTGATGGGCGTACCAAGAGACAGCTGGACAGACGGACAGAGGACAGCACGCGAAACGTAAGGCCAGGAGGTCCAGCCATCCAGAACCGGGTGACGTCTTAGTTCCCGCCTGTGAAAGCAGCAGGATTAGAAGGCGAACAACTGGAGTGTTCAGTAAATGTTTGCTCACTCGTGTTTGCTCAGAGCCCTGTGCAAAGCACTGTGGGAAGGGACAGTGAGGAACTCAGAAACCATTCAGATCCCCAGCAAGGGGCTCACAATTCGGCAGGTGAGAGACAGCTTCCAGCTTTTACTCCTTTTTTTAAAAAAGATTTATTTATTTAAAAGAGTTACAGAGAGAAAGGGAGAAACATACACACACACACATACAGAGAGAGAGAGACTTCCATCCATTGGTTCATTCCACAGATGGCAGCAATGGCTGGGACTGGGCCAGGCCAAAGCCAAGAGTCTGGAACCCTATCTGGGTCTCCCGGGTGGGTGGCAGAGGCTCAAGCACTTGGACCATCACCCACTGCTTGTCCCAGGCCACCAGCAGGGTGCTGAATTGGAAGTGGAGCAGCCAGGACACGAACCAGCATCCATATGGGATGCTGGCATCGCAGGTAGTGGCTTTCCTCACTGTGCCACAATGCCAGCCGCCAAACCTTCCTCTTCTGAATCTCAATAAAAAGATGATGTAGGAAGCAAAAAGGAAAAAAGTGCTTTTCAGCTTTCGAGCTTCATACGGAGAAAATTCATAGTAATGATTGTGATACTGAGACTCACTTTGTTGTCAGACGACCCGTACCCTGAGTCTCAACTAAGCCCTGACCCAATTGCCATGGAAGACACCCTCAGTACTGGTCCACCACCAGTACAGCTGCCTGCAGCCCATCCTTGATAGGCGCTATCTCACGAAGAGTTTGGGAAGCTCAGCTCAAGCAAGCAATAGCAAGAACTGGATGATGAGGTTGTAAAATCACAAATGACAATCTGAGGCTGATGTTGTGGCACAACGGGTAAAGTCGCTGCCTGTGACACCAGCACCCCATATGGGCACCAGTCCAAGTCTCAGCTGCTCCACTTCTGATCCAGCTCCCGCCAATGCACCTGGGAAATCAGTGGAAGATGGCCCAGGTGCTTGCTTAGGTCCCTGCACCCATGTAGGAGACCCAGATGGAGTTCCAAGCTCCTGGCTCCGACCTGGCCTGGCCCTGGCCATTGCAGCCATTTGGGGAGTGAACCAATGGATGGAAGACCTCTCTCTCTCTCTCTCTTTCTCTCTCTCTCTCTCTCTATATATATATATCTTTCTGTATGTCTGCCTTTCAAATAATAAATAATTCTTAAAAAAGAAAAAAAAAAAAAAACAAAAAACAAATGTGAACTCCTTGGGCTAGAGCAACTCTGGATGAACAAAAATAAGGCCAAGAGCCACGGAGACCAATATTACACGAGAAACAAAGGCGATTCTTTTCGGCTTGAATCACTGGGTTGTTTCTTTATGTTCTTCCAAAAGGGCAAGAGACAAAGATAAAAAGCGATATAAATGAGAGTCGACTGCACACCCAACCTGTTTTGTGAGTGCTCATGAGCAAATTAATTTAGACTCTCTGAACTTTGGAATGCTCGTCTACAAAACGAGGATAATTATCTTTCTTATCTCTGATACCAAATCAACATCGTGGAAAGAACACCCCGAAATCAAGCAAATAAATGGCAGATATGTTCCACACCACTTGGTCTTTGGTCTCCCAAAAGTGGTCTTAAGCAGAGAGAGAAAGAGAATGAGAGACTTGTGCACCTGAGATGTGCCAGGTTGGGGGCCTGGCGCTGTGGAGTACCGGGTAAAGCTACCACCTGCAGTGCCGGCATCCCACATGGGCACTAGTTCAAGTGCCAGCTGCTCCACTTCTGATCCAGTTCTCTGCTATGGCCTGGGAAGGGGTCCTTGGGCTCCTGCACCCCCATGGGAGACCTGGAAGAGGCTCCAGGCTCCTGGCTTCAGATGGCCCAACTCTGGCCATTGTGGCCATTTGGGGACTGAACCAATCGATGGAAGACACCTCTCTCTCTCTCTCTCCCTCTGTCTCTGTCTCTGTAACTCTGCCTTTTAAATAAAGAAATAAAAAAAAAAAATACATGCCAGGTGTTTTCCCTGCAACAACCCCAATCCTCATCTCTGCTTATTTTTAGTTTTACAGATAAGGATCCCTGAGACTCAGAGATGTTAAGCAACTGGACCAGGATCATTCAGCCACCAGCCCACAGGTCTGGCGGACTCCAGCACTAGCGCTCTTTCTAACTCACTGCCCAAATGAGGCTGAGCTTACTACGGCCTCGAACCCAGTGCAGCTACGGTTCCCCACGGGAATGTTTACCCTGCAGAGATGCCTCCATCAGTGCGGCTGAGGGTTCCCAGAGAAGCTGTCCGGCCCGGCTGCCGGCCATGTCAGGCAGGGACCCTAGGGAGCCAGGTTCAGTCTGCTCATGCGCAGTGCGTGTGACGGGCAGGAAGAGGGTGTAGCCTCTGCACTAACGAAGTCCCCAGATGCTGCAGACGTAAACACCAGTGGGCGTGGGTGACCAGGAGGGCGGAGGAGCCACAGCGAGGCTGCTCTGGCAGCTCAGAGCGAGTGGGGAATGCGGGTAAGAGGTGACGAAGGAAACCTCGTTCCTGGGGCTTGAGAACACGGCAGCCCAGACACTCCCTGAACCAGAGCCAAGGGCCCGTGGAGGCGAGTGGGGTCCAGACGCCATCGGCAGAGCTCCCAGAACAGCCATTCAGAAGCCTGGGGCTCCGAACGAGGGCCCTTCCTCCACCAGGGAGCATGTCCCTCGCACCGCTGGGTCCACGATTCGGCAGTGACTGAGTATGAACTATGTTCCCCGCTCCCCGAATAATAGTGTCATTAACTTTAACTAATTGGATCCCTGATTCCCCCGTTTGCCAGCTGGGTGACTTAGCAAGTCACTAACACTGTTAGAGCTCTGCTTTTCTCATCTGCAAAATGGGCATAATAATTAGTACCTTCCACATAGAGCCGTGTGAGGATTAAACGATGCAATACATCTTAAAAAAAAAAAAAAAAACACCACTTGGCACAGAGATTAGCCCAAACTAAGCCCTTAATGACGGGTGGCTGCTCACGCTATTATTACAAGGATTCTCTCACATGCCCGGGCACCAGGCTTGACACTGTGCGAGTACTGGCCGGAAGCACACAGCACGCTCACCTGGGACACTTAAATTGTATTCAGCAGACTGTTTGTCGAAGTCTGGCTGGAATTAAATGAAATAACAACGGGTTTTGAGACACCCCAAACTAACAAAAACAACTCTGAGGACTTAATTCCTCTTGGATCCTGGGACAGGCTGAGTGGAGCCCGGGTTGGGGGCGGCACTGGCCACCCAGCGGGAGCTGGAGAGGGAGGTGGATTGGGGGTGGGGGTGGGGGGTCCTCGGCTAGAAGGAAGCTAAAGCCAGGGGCAAGGAGGGGGGCAGTGAAGGCAGCCTGTCTCCTCCGTGTGCCCCTCGGACTTCTGCCGCTCCCTCCCACTGGCTGAAGAGCCGCGGAAGGCAGAGAGCAAGGGGTATCACCCTGGTCAGCCTTCTGACCACATAGGCATGGGGGTGGGGCACAAACAGAACACGGAGCCCAGGCTCCAGAACTCATTTTGCAGTCTCATTAGCTCTAGAAAAGCTGCAGTCGTGGTGGCTTTATACACCTTTTCCACATGAGGGAATTTTTTTTTTTTTTGAAGATTTATTTATTTGAAAAGCAAAGTGACAGAGAGAGGAGAGAGACAGATCGCCATCTTCCATCCTCCTGTTCACTCCCCAGATGCCCACAACCAAGGCTGGCCCAGGCCAAAGTGAGGATTCCAGAATATTCCAAGCAGATCTCCCATGTGGAGGTCAGGGACCCAAGTACCTCACAGCTGTTATCCACTGCCTTCTCAGGTGCTGTAGCAGGAAGCTGGCTCAGAAGTTGAGCAGGCAGGACCTGAACCAGGGATCTGGGCATCGCAAGCGCAGGTTACACCAGTGGCCCTCAGAGGAGGGAGTTTGGATCACGGAGGCACAGGACTCTCCAATGGCCAGCTTAAAAAAAAAGAAGAAAAGAAAAGAAAAGAGAGGAGAGGAGAGGAGAGGAGAGGAGAGGAGAGGAGAGGAGAGGAGAGGAGAGGAGAAGAGAAAGAAGAGAAAGAAGAGAAAGAAGAGAAAGAAGAGAAAGAAGAGAAAGAAGAGAAGAGAAAGAAGAGAAAGAAGAGAAGAGAAGAGAAGAGAAGAGAAGAGAAGAGAAGAGAAGAGAAGAGAAAATGGAGTTTCCATTAGTCCCCAAAGGCAACTCACCACGCCTCCTCAGCCAAGGAGCACTTTCACCCCAGCTGTTGGAGTCTGGAGGCCCTTGCTGTCGCGGGGATTGCTGGGAGGATCTTCCACTGGAATCCAAAAGCCAGCACACAGCGCTGAGTCTCCTGGGAGTAGGGAAGGGCTCGTCAGAAGCAAGCAGAATAAGGAAGCAGACCTGTGTGTCCACCAGAGTGAAGAATCCATCCACTCCTTCACAGCCCCTGTCTCGTGTGCCCTCGGCGCTCTCAGCCAGACCTGGGAGACAGAGGAGAGCAGGCACAGCTGTCACTCCCACGTTGTGTGGATTCACACCTTTTACTAACAGATGTCATTCTCGTAACCATCATTAAATCCTTTGAGCAAACAGGGGTGCCCACCTGGAGCCACTGCCACCGCGCCACGGAAGAGACAGATGGACAGATGACCTCAGCAGAGCGGTGACTGGGTACGCGGCAGCAGGGGAGCCGGGGACCCCGGGATGTGCTGGACTTGGCCCTCACCCATGGCCCTGAGCCCGTGCGGGGTGGCTCTGCCTAACTGAGCGCTCACAGCTTCACATTGCAAACAGGAAACCTGCCCCAGTGGGAGGGACCAGAAGAGTCTAGAAATAAAGGCTTGTTTTTCTTTTTTTCTTTTTTGGAGGGATCATGATTGTTTAGCATTTACCAGCACAGTGTGGACCGGAGGACTTCCTGGAGGAGGAAGTATTTGAGGTGGACTTAGTTATAAGGTGTTGGAAAGGTGTCCCCGCCTCTTCTCCATTCTGCCCTTCCCCCCTCCCTTGCCCCAGCCCCAGTGAGCTCTTTTCAGGGTCTTGTTCCCTGCCGCCCCCTCCAATTCCCTTATGCTGTTATCACTTTTGTCTGGTGATCCCGTCCCTCTCATCCATCAGACAGACTCCCTCCTGGAGAACAGAACCCAGTGCCGCTGAGTGACCTTGGCCTGTCCTTGACCTCTCTCTGCCTTGTCTTCCGTGGCTGTAAAGTGGGGAAACACGAGCCGCCCTGCCTGCTCCACATAGCTGTCATGAGAAGGAACTCGGACAACCCACGGGCTGCACAGGAGAGCAGGCCCAGCAAGGGCTCCCAACGGAGGGCCGGACGTCAGAGCTGGAAGCAGGCTCAGAAACCGACGAAACCAACCTTCTCAGCTTACAAATGAGAACGCCGCTTGGAACGAGCATGCTCCTTGGCCAGAGTACTGCAGAGAGTGGAAAAACACGATCCCCTGCCTGTCCCAGAAGATCGCTCTTGTTTGCCCACCACGGACATGTGGGCACCACCGGGCCAGACCTCCCAGGGATGAGAAGCTGGAATCAGTGCAGAGCAGCCACTGCTGGAACGTACGCAGGCGGTGAGCCAGCGAGACAAGGGCTGCCCCTGGGGGACAGGGGGGCTGCGCAGGGACCCTGCCCCGCGGGAACTTGGGGTGTGTCCTGGTATGGGATGTGGCTCCCACTGTCTCACTCCCAACGTGCTCTCGCCTCAGCTGGATTGAAGGGTAGGGGGGCAGGCAGAGATCTGAAAGGATTTGGGGCCACGCAAGAACCAAAGGGCTGGAACCCAACGGGCTCTCTCAGAGACACAGCCCTGCAGGCAGCCAATCGCATGGGCGACACTGAAGCCAAGGGCAGAACAAAGCTAGCTTAAGTGGTGGGGAGTGGCCGTGGGGGTGAAGGTCGGGGAGCCCATGGGTATCACCAGCAGCCAAAGACAAGGAGAGACGACACTGCTCGGAGGTGGCCAAAGCCCTAGAGAAAGAGGACAGAGAGCAGAGGCTGTGGTCCTCATCATTCTCTCACAGGGCTCAGAACAGGGTTTGGTTGTGTTTTTCAGCATTTTTTAATTATACAAGACATCAATACATTCTCAATGCAAACAACTCAGACATCTCATACAAAGGAGAAACCATCTCCCCAGCCCTCTGGGGGCCCATTTTAATGTGCATTCTTCCAGGCCTTTCTCTGGAGTTTGTACCCATCTGTGTGTCACAGGAGACAGACATGGCTTTGGGGGTGGGTAAGGTTGTGGATTAAAGGGACCACCCAGCCACACTAACCTGAACCCTGCTACTTGTACCTGAGAAGCTACACGTGCAGACACAGAGCTACAGCCCTCTTCACAAAGAGCCCTCAATGATTCTGTAGTCTGGAGCCGTGATCTATGATCTAACCACACACACACACACACACCCCACCACCACCACCACCCCCACTGAGGAACACTTTAGATCATTTCCGGTTTTTCATGTTCGAACAATGTGCCAATATATAGATAGCCCTGCACGTGCCTGAGACCAGGAAGCAAGAGAAAAAATGAGGTATACTTCATACAGAGTGAGCATTGCTTAACAACAGGGATACATAATTATGTTGTTGTGTGAACGTCATAGGCTATACTTACATGAACTAACGTCATAGGCTATACTTACAGGAACCAAATAGGCTACAGTGTCTCTTAGCAACAAAATAGTACGGGACCACCATCATTTATGCCTCGCCTGAAACACTGGCATGCAGCACACTACTGTATATTATTAGATTTCCTTATCCTGTATATATTAAATTTCATTAAATATGTTATATTCCATTCATATAATAGATCCCTTACATATTGATATATAATAGACTCACTCTATATATGTATAAAAAATTACTACTTTTGGAGATGGGCATTTCTTAGGAAAAGTGTGCACCTCAAACTCTCTTGCGCCCCTTGACTTGAAGCCAGTCTAGGCTACGAACTAAAAGAACGTTGTCAGGAGCTCCAATTGCGTGAAGCCAAGAGGGAACCACACAGTTTAATAAGTCATTTCCATCCCCACTCGCAAGGTCTCTGTATATTTCATGCCCCCTTAGTCATCATTTGGGTGAGCTCTACATATTTGTGCTTGTTCTTTCTTTCATTTGTCCTCATAAATCAATCCCTGCAGTCTGCTAATCAAAGCCAGCTTTTCAAATGAAACTGTAGCAGAGTGTTTCACTAACCAAATATTGTTTTTCCACCGGCACTGACAGAGAGGGTGGGATGCCACCTCGCACACCGTTCTTTCTTCCTCTGCCACCCCGGGAGACCACGTGCCACCCGAGGTGGGCGTCGGGCCACAGCTGAGGGTGTGAGGGAGTGGTCGCTGAGAGGTTCTTCTTTGCTCTCTCTCTCTCTCTCTCTCTCTCTCCCTGGGATCTCCAGGAAGAAGGTCACCCTCTCCACTTCTACTCTTAATAATGGAGGAAAATAGAGTGTGACAATGCCTGGAGCTTACTGAGCCGTCTCCCCGCCAACCCCGAGGGCTGCAGCTGGTTTTGGAGGATGGAGGATGCCAGCTCCTGCTACTCCCCCTTCACCCAGTTGCCCACCCTGGGCAGGTGGCTGCTTGTGTAGACTCAGTGATAGCCAGCCTGAGAGCACTGCTGCCCTACAACCTGCCCTTGAACCTCACCTTTAATCCCCCAGCTGCCTCCTTCACCAATAGAAGTAATTCTGCCTCAAAGAAGCATTATCAGCATCCCCTGGGAACCTGTTAGAAATGCAGATTTCCAAACCCCACGCACACCTACTGGATCAGAATTTCTGAGCTGTGCATTTTTGGAAGCCTTCTTTGAATAGCCATGACCTACAGGACCCATGTCCACCCTCCTAACTCGGATGCCTCAGTCCTCCATGCTGGCCCCTGCTGCCATCCAGTCCCATCTCCTGTTACCCTTTCTACGGAACTCTGCACTGTATGGACCAGCCAAACACACAGCTGGGTCTCTTCCTGTCTCTGAGTGGACCGGAAATGGTCCCTTCTCCTTAGCACATCCTTGCCTTTCTGTATTAAATCCCTACCACTGGGACCGGCACTATGGCGTAGCAGGTAAAGCCACCGCCTCCAGTGCCGGCATCCCATATGGACACCGATTTGAGTTCCGGCTGTTCCACTTCCGATCCAGCTCTCTACTATGGCCTGGGAAAGAAGCAGAAGATGGCCTCTGGCTCCTGGCTTCTGATTGGTGCATCTCCGGCCAGTATGGCCAATTGGGGAGTGAACCAGCAGACGGAAGCCCCCCACCTCTCTCTCTCCCTCCCTCCCTCTGCCTCTCCCTCTCTCTCTGTGTAACTCTTTCAAATAAATAAATAAATCTTTTTTAAAAATAAAATAAATTGTATTTGCATATATTTCATTCTCTCAACAACTCCATGAAGAAGGTATTACTATGAGAAAGTCCTATAAATGGAAGAAACCTTTGCCTCTTCCAGCTGAGCTGCACTGCCTGCTTTGTCAATGAGATGACAATGAGAATGCATTATGCCTCCCTAGCTGTGTGACTTTGAGCAAGTCTCAGACCTCTCTGTCAGTTTCTTCACCTAAATCCCTCCTATTCCAGATAAAGAAACAGTTGAGAGAAAGAGAAGAAAAAAACACAGTGGCCCAGAGTTCTTCAATCACTCGTCCAAGGTAGGACGCGGTACAGGTGGATTTGACCCCTGGCTCTGGAGCTGTAACCATTTGGATCTGTTGCTTCCTGCGACACGTGCATCCCCGAGGTTTAGAGCCGCACGGAGCATGTGCACTCCCACTGCCCCCCACAACACCGGCTCTCCGGCCCACGCAGAACCTCAGTCCTGTAGCGCTGCAGAGCGCTCTCCCCTGTCCTGGCCAAGACGGCTCTTCTCCAGGCTCACACCCGCTGTTTTCCTCAACCAGTTCCATGTGACCTGGCCCTGTGTCCCCAGCTGCCAGCCCTCGCGACACAGCTGGCTTTCAAAGGAGGAGGCCTTCCATGCATCCTCTCATTGGCTGCTTTGCTTTCTCCTATTTCCTGTTTCAAATTGCTAGGCCCAAGCGTTTGCATCAAGAATGATGACATGACATGCTTTCTAAAAAATCTCATTTTCCAAAGGCATTTCCTATTGATTTCCTTCCTTATTCAGACCACACTCAGCCTGGCTTGTGTTAAAAAAGAGAGAGAGGATAGGGAAAAAAAAAGAAAGAAGGAAAGACACAGCAATCCATGTTTTTCCAAGAGCAGACTGGTGCCATGAGCCTTCCTACCAGTTTGGGCACCCCTCCGGGTGGGCTGCTCAACCAGCGTCCCCCAGACCCAAGGGTCCTGGAACCACCTTGGAAATTCCAGCCACCTAATTCCCCCTCAGTTCCCTGCAGCCCACCTTTGTGGGATTATTAGCATTTCTCTTTTTTAAAGATAATTAATTAATTAATTAATTAATTTGAAAGGCAGAGAAAGAAACATCTGCCACTCACTGGTTCATTCC